AATGAAAGTAACTGAAGAAATAGATAAAATATAGAAAGAAAATAATTACGTATTTATATTGTCCAGGATATTAAAATTTTCTAAGATAATACTAAAGATAAATTTAAAAACAAGTTAATAATAATAGATGATTAGATAAATGTGGTCGATTTTGAATTATTTTGGCAAGATTTCAGCTTCTTTTTCTATTTTACAAAATTATAAAAATTTATTGCTATAAGAAATATTTGATATTTGTATAAAATACTGTTCATATACTTATTTTTGAAAAAAAAAAGTTTCACTAAAATAAAAATATGTGGGCATAGAATATATAAATAAAAATTCTCGCAATTGTTTCGTCTCTCTCTTTTTTTTTTGCGTCAATTTTATTAGATGCAAGAATTAACGCTATTATTTTATGGTGCCGATCTTATATTTACAATAATTAGCGATGCAAAATTTGTGGGATATAAATGAATGTGGTGACCGAACGAAAGAGGAGCGGAAATGTGCGGAGAGAGTAGCGCGGAGTTTCATTTTGGACGAAGAGCATTCTCCATAGTCGACTGGTTCGCTCTAAACAGGCAATATTACTTATTGACTTTGGCTCGGGCTTAGTTGATGGTTGACTAATTACGAACTGAATTTTGCAGAATTTGTTTTTGTCCGGCTTTACTTTTAGTTAATTTTTTGTAAATTTTTTTAATTTAAACTTTAATTTTATCATAATAAATAAGAGGTTTTTTTTAAAGGGAGAACAACGTTATTATATCATTGTAAAATTTTTTAAAATTAAAATTTACGTTGAAAAATGTCTAAACGTGGAAAATTAGGAAAGAAAAAAATTTGAAATATACAATACTAATCTCTCTCTCTTACTCACACACACACACATACAGAATTAAAGCATTGTTTTTTTTTTTAATATTTTTCATCTAAAATAATACTCTTTGCAGCAGTTTCAACCTGCTTTAAGCTGGCATATATTTGAATCAAAGGCTTTTGGTTTTCAACGAATGATTACTTTGCTAGAAATTTTTGTTGAGCTGTCGGTGAATGTTCATCCCGACAGCTGTCTGACTTGTCTCGTGTCTGTTCGCATCTCCAGTATTTTGCGCGACCTATTCAGCTTCGCATTGGGTTTATGGATGCTCGTAAAGTTTCGGGCTCTAGTCGCGAATATGTAGGTTTCTTCGCATTTTGCTTGTCATATGATCTCATCTCTGCGTCTTATTCCTTTTGATCTCTTAATGCATCTTTGCGGAGAGACATCCTCAGATTGCGGTTCAGCTTCATTCCTCTTTTTTCGCATCGTATAATACTCTTTCGCTGATGATTTTGCGTGAATGTAACGAGTTTCCAACTCTGCAATATTGATTTTATTTAACTGAATGAATATATCTTTATTTTATGGTGATTTTTCAATCTTTATTGTATGAATTTGCTTTGTCCGATTATTCGTTGTCCGATGGATTTGTTATCACAACGGAAATGGTATCATAACGTCTGTTTGCAGGAAATATTTTCCTGAAATTGTAATAATAAAAGCTGTCGCTGTATATGTTAAAAATAATACTACATCTCATATTTTGTATTGTAATTTTTAGTAATATCGCGTTCCGATAATGTAATGTACGTTTGATTTCAATTATATTTCGTGCAACATACACTACTGTTCATAAATTTACCGTGATTACGGATAAGTGGAAGGAATATACGAACAGTTATTAGGTATAGAGAATAAAGCATTTAGTTGTTTTTTTTATTTAAACTTTTCGTAAAAGAATGTGACGCAATGGGATTTTGTTGACTAATTTCAATGTTTGAGCATATAAAAATGAGATATGTTATACTTTTAAGATTGCAAAATCTAACATTT